ATAGTATTGATTTTACTTTAACATTACTTGAAAGCATAAAAAATGTATTTAGTCAATATAAAGCATGGGTCAAATAGATAGAGAGAAAATAAACGATGCTCTAACGTTCTTTTGATAGGTACCTTTTTTGTATTTCATAAAACATAGAAATAAGAAAAATATGTAAGTTAATTATACAGTTTTAATAGAATTATTTAATATTATGATAATTATTATAACTCTTATGTCTAAATCACTGCTAGATTATAAATGTTGATGAGTATCCCCAATTCATACGTTTATATTYAATTTAAAAAAAATACGTATAAATTAGTTAAATTATTTAAGTATAGAACCCAAAGTAGTAAGTAATTTTAAATAAAAATTATATTATGTGTTTTTTCGTGTTACTATTGAATCAATAAACATCATTAAAGAAAATGTACTGTTCAATTACTGCAGTCTGTGGTGTTTCATTGTAAATTTGAAATATATTGTGAAAATGTAACGAAATAATACCAATAAAAGCAACAAAAATGAAAGTTTACATTAAGTGATTGATGGATGTGTTCGGTCCTYGTACAACCTGTTGCATCAGGTATGTCATTCCCTATAAACGTACGTGTAATGTTATATGGTTWACGACCACTATTTGTATTATATTAAGTACATCATGATATTATATATCAACAGCTCTGTTCACTTTTTAGTGTATGGAAAGTATCCAAATCATACAACGTTAAAAACTGTATTTCAAGTTTTAACCCATGTTAAATAGTGAATAAATTACATGAATTCCCGTTGGAACGTGTATGGCTATAGTGTTTAGTCACTGTAAATAGTTTCTGCGAGTTTGTTGATTTAGTGGACAGTTGTTTTCCAGAAATTTTTGTCATCTTGGAGGATACAAGGGTACAGAGGAAAAAAAAAATACGACACGCATGGGAAATTAGATTTCCATGTATTATTTTTCTCTTTGGTCAAAAACTGTCTTTTTATTTTTCCAACAATCGGGACATTTTACGGAAAACGATTCTGACGTTTTTTGTTACTTTTCCGCATATACGTACCCTCCCAGAAAGCATTCGCTTCAGAACTTCAGACAATGGCGAAAAAATATCGAAAAACACCATTGTGCGTGATATCGAGATAGGGTTGGTATAATAATAATACGCATTACTCGAAAATTGAAAAACTCAGATATTTTACGAGCTTGAACGCCATAAAAATGCGTTAATATAATATATATATTTATATATATATATATATATATATATATTATATATAAAATGATTTCTATTCACCACCTTATCTATTTTCTACAGTTTTTTTTTTTAGTAGGTACCTACTCACCACCATCTGATATATAGCGTCTACGATGTTGTACATCTCGTCTCGGGTTATGAAACCATCGTTGTCGACATCATAAAGACGAAAAGCCCCTGAAATCAAAAAT